CTCCCTACTTTTCTCCCATCCCCTCCCAACTTTTCTCCAATCTCCCCCACCCCACCTTTCTCACACCCTAACCTCCCCACTTTTACTTACAGTAGCCTGTTAACCAACCTGTTGCAAGCACTGTATAACACATTGCATGTAGTCCACCTGGCAATCATATGGCTCAAATGGGAACTCCACTGTTACGCCTCCAATTTTGATGTTCTCCATTCTCTTTGAATTAAACTTGATGCATCCAATTCTTACTGAATACTTTTATCAGTGTTGATACCAATTTCTTTGAAATTTCCTGAAAATGTAAACAAGTTTCTAATTTTTTTTAAACACAGAGATAAGAAACTTGGCCAAGTATTAATATAATTGGCCACATGCCCAGCAGGTTTTACTGCCTAACTGACTGCAGGGTCATTCGGGCTCAAACCAACCACCATGCCCCTGTGACCCCACTTGGATTTTCCATTTAAAAAATCTAAAAAAATACCTTTCTATGTCAAAAGAAAGAATCCAAAATTTCAGCTTCAATTTCCAACTGGTTTTTAAGTTACAACCTTTTGAAATTTAGGTACAGTACCAAGCCCCCTTTTTCATTCCAGTAATGGCTCCTTTGACTTTGTACAACTTTTATGAAGCTATCATCTGGAATAACGAAGATAAAAAGTTGTAAATTGCTACATAGACTGACATTTAGCCTCCCTTTCAAGAAATACCATTCAAATTTGGGAAACATATTTCATAAGCATGTTAGACGCCCTCCCCAAATAAATGTAGCATTGTGTGAAAATAGATTTTCGCTTTTTTAGATGGCCGTATCTTATCATTTCTTTCCAGTAAGGAACATAAAATTAAGCAAGATGTGATGAATACACTACAGTATGCTCATACTACTACATATATACAGTACATACTTGCAAGGTAATTAGAGCAATAATAAAAGGTATGATGGGGTCGCAAACATGGTTGCAGGAACATTTGCTCTAAAATTAATCCTTCTTTGACCAACCATGTGACCCCATGGACACTTAAATATTAAGTGTGGAATTTATACCAGTATTAGATATACACATCATTATTATTATAGTAAAAAGTTTAAATTTTGTTTCTTAACTCCTTCATTGTGAACTGATTTTTTTTTTTTTTTTAATAGACAGGTTTTAATGTATTCAAAATATCAGGTCAAAGTCCAAATCACAAATAAGTCAGTATTTGTGGTATTTATGTATGTATGTACATATTGGCCTATTACGAGTATTATTAATGTACCATACTGTTAAATATTTTAATTGCACGTTTGACCCAAAAACTACCAAAACTATTTTTCGACAAAATCTGTGCGGAAACCGCCCTCATTTTCCAACGGATTTCTAGGCCAAGGTAGGCACCACACGATGCGTGACGTCACGCACTTCAATAATAGTGTCATTAACCCAGTTCAGCCAAGCGTGTTTTTGTCAACAAAGGCCTTAAGAAAATATTCATGTAAAATGCTTTTTGATTGGTTGAGACATTTTTTCAGGTCACTCAGGGGTCAAAGTAGTATAAAATTTTGATTATTTTTTTTTTTTTTTTTTTTTTTTTTTTTTTTTTTTTTTTTTTTCTTTTTTATCGAAGTTATATGCTTTGAAAATTTCATTGAAATTCCTCGTTTTTTCCAGAGAATTGCAAGTAATAAATTTCAATTTTTTAATAAAAAAGGATATGTTTATATATCTAAGAGTTTATTTGCCAAATATTAATGTAATACAAGGCGTAGCAATTTTTTGAGGCATCGCAAAACCGATGATCAGCCGTCGTGTACACATTGTCGCAAGACTAAACCATAACGATCTTAACGAAAGTGCTGCATTAAAACATCAATATTTTTCATGTAAATAAAATAAATATGAGATCAAAAAGTAACTAAATGATACTTAAAGCATTAATATACTTTTAGCTAATGATTATCTAAAAAAATAGTTAAATATTAAGGATTGAAGTAGATACTAAACCTGTCTCTTATACACATCTAGATGTGTATAAGAGACAGCCCATCCCCTCTTTTCTCCAATCTCCCCCACCCCACCTTTCTCACACCCTAACCTCCCCACTCTTACTTACAGTAGCCTGTTAACCAACCTGTTGCAAGCACTGTATAACACATTGCATGTAGTCCACCTGGCAATCATATGGCTCAAATGGGAACTCCACTGTTACGCCTCCAATTTTGATGTTCTCCATTCTCTTTGAATTAAACTTGATGCATCCAATTCTTACTGAATACTCGCAATACAGTACTGTAATAGTAAAACTCGAGCGTCACGACATTGCGAAGTGTCTGATCTTGTTCCTCGTGTCGTACTCACTCGAGTCCATCCGAGATGGCCCGAGTGAAATTTCATGCAAATGTTTCGTACGGAAAAAAAAATCGCAAAGGGGCAACTACCCCAACGGCAATAGGCATAGACCAAAACGGCAAAGGAGCAAAAATCAATGACAAGACTGAAGCGCCACCGGCAACAGTTTATAATTTTCTAAATTGTTTTGTTTGTGTGGGTGGGTGTGTGTGTGTGTTTGTTTTTTTTACACATCCATGACGAATTATTTCGTTATTTTAAAGTGTTATGTATTATTATTATTATTTTTTCTTTCCGTTTTTTAGTTTCGTATTACCCTCATATTATCTGTATTTTAAGATTTTAATTGTTTAAATGTTCACTGGTTTTATATTGTATATTTTGTTCCCCCAATCTTTCTTACTATTGAGTTTGTATGTTGTATTGTTGTTGTTGTTAATATTACTATTATTATTATTATTATTATTATTATTATTATTATTATTATTATTATTATTATTATTATTATTATTATTATTATTATTATTATTATTATTATTATTATTATTATTATATTACTATTATTATTATTATTATTCATATTATTATTATTATTATTTTATTATTATATTTATTCATGTTGTTAATCTTTAAAGTGTTTTTTTTTTCTTTCGCGCTTTTTTTACTTTTATGACATAAATTGTCCACATTGGAATTGAAGTTTTACTTCTTGAAGAAAACTTTCATAGACCATCCTTCTTGCATTATCTTATTGTAATATTTTTTTGTCCTGCCTTGTGCGAATTTTATATGTTCTGTACAATGTTTTGATGATGAGAACAGAACTGATGATATCCACAATAAATATTGATACAGAATGTTCCAATTAATTTTGAGTTGTACTTTTTTGTTATAATAAGTAACAGCAGTTAAAATAAAACCATCAAACCGAGAAATACGAGTTAACAGCACCATAAGGTTCATGAATAAGGTGCGAAATCAACTTAGAGTGGTTTTAAAGGTAACGCCCACGGAACGTTACTTTCAATAACCTTTCAATTTAATAAAAGGCGTTTTAAGCAAACTATTGCTGATTCGGTAATTCAATTATTAACTGTGTTGCCTACAGTTTATGGTTAACTGGTTTTGGTTTTTTGCCGTTTTGACTTATTGCCGTTTTGGATTTTTGCCGTTTTGACCAGTGTTCCAGTAGTTATTAAGTCGCCATTGAATCTATGGAACGCCCACGGTGACAAGAAAGTATAATACATACTCCAAGTATTGAAATACACGCCATCGTGTTGGGATTCAATATTTCGACATTAATTATGTCATCATCAGGAATGACTTTAAAGCCCACGGTGACTTTACTGTATTCGCCAACACACCTCCATTCTGCAATGTCTTGGCGATAAGTGTGTTCTAAAGGTTCTTTTAGATGATCCAAAGTCAAGTGTTAAAGTTAAGTGTTAACGTTAAATGTTAAGTGTAAGTCTTCTAAAAGAACCTTTAGAACACCCTTATTAATATCGTTTGGATCCAATGAATTTCTTGGCGAGTTTAGTGTGAAAATAATGAATAACCTTATTCATATCTGCTCTGTCAGTACATTATGAGATCTAAGACGGATAGAGTTCGGTCTGTTCCTATAAACTATTGCCACTTTCGCTAAGATACTGGTGTAAGAGTTTTCTCACAAATAAGAAAGTATAATTTACATGCTCCAACTATTGAAATACACGCTATCGTGTTGAATCAATATCCCAACAAAATATGGTGTGCATTTCAATACTTGGAGTGTGTATTATACTTATCTGAGATAAATCAGTGGAACTTTCGGTTGTCACAAATCAAAAGGTATTGTTCTGTACGTTGCGATACCCATTGTCAGTTGACTTCAGGAATAATAATGAAGAGTAAAACCCTCCTTTGGGGACACCCTTATTCAGGGGACAACCCTATATCTTTTACCACTACGGCCAACCCCATTAGGGGACACCCCTATGGGACATTGACACTTTCTAAGTGTGCAAAATGGTCAAATAACCCCTATTAAGGGGACAATAGTGATTTTTCCCCATTGTATCACAACAACAGCGCAGTCTGAAAATAAGAAAAATTCATTTTTAACTTTATATTTTGAGACCTTTGGGCAAATAAACTGGAATTTTCTCTCTTAGATCTCCTAGAACATTGGTATAGGCCTACTGAATGTGTTACTTCGTATGAACTAATCTTAACCATGATGGGGATTGCGATTTCTTTGTTTTTCGAGTACGGTACTGCAATAGGCCCATAGGATTTCTAATCCATACCATTACATCCTGTATTTCGAAGTCGTTACTCTAATGCTACATCATCCAATATAGAAAGCTCAATATTAAAAAATAAATAAAAGAATATTTGGTAATTAATATTGCATCATGAAATATTATTGGGAACATATGATATAATAGGCTAGAACTATTTTTGTTTTAACTACATTTATACTGATTTTCATATTATATATGAATTGTATTTGCATTGCAAATTATTGTCATAAATTAGTTCTAATTCTACGACTGTTGTATGAAAAATGTCAAAAACCCTATTAAGGTATACCCTAGTTGCCAACCGTCTCGCATCGTGCCGGACGGTCCCGCATTTCAAAGATATTTTGGATGACTCGAATATAAAGTTTTGAAGAAATTCAGATTTACATCTATTATCAAGTAGAGCAGACACATAGCACAAAGGCCTACCCTGTGTATCCATTCTGTACAATACGCAGGCAGTGCATGGGCGATTCCATTATTTTCCGCCCTGTAGTGGACTGAACAATTCCATTATTTTCTTTTATGCTCATGGGTAAAAGAATTTCCGTGACATTGACCATATCCTTTGACATCTTTTTCTTTCCACAATTTAATCATCTTTTTCTTAGATTATTATGTATCTCCGCAGGGGCGATTTGGGTTCCAATTTAGGGGGAGGAGGGAAATGTTTTCAAAAAAACCCCAAAAAGGAAGTGTGGGTCCCTCCCCGGGAAAATGTTGTTTCCTAGATGGCGGGAAACGAGCTTTCCTGACTTCTGCGGTGTTTTTTAATCACTCATAAGTTCTTCAAAATTTAAGTTTTCCCCTCTCTTGAAAACGGTCATGTAAATTTTCTTATTACATACATACATACATACAGAAAAGTAATTGAGTAGTTGCATAGTCCTACGTATCTTTTTTCAATGAATCGATGATCCCGGCAAGCATAAAGATAACGCACTTCCGTACACAAATTATGAACCAAAATCAGTGTTTTTAATTTCATTTAATTTAAGGCTTGTTAGGCTAAGCGTTCTTTGTCCGATCTGCCAACCTATATGCCTACATGCATTTTGTAGGCCAGGACCCAGTAGTATTTTTTTTTTTTTTTTTTTTGGACATTTTTTCACAGTGGGGTGTTCATCCGAACCCTCTTAACCCCCTGGATCCGCCAATGTATGTCTGAGATATGCTACAAACAAATATATAATTTGTTCGGATCTCATACATAAATTGTAAAGTCTTGCTTGTGTAGATTAATTTTTTAAAAACACTATTTATTATAAAGTAATATTGTTTTATGACAAGTTATACAAATATTATTTTGAAAATGTAAAAGCCATTGAAACAAAATAAAAAAACGATATAATCCTTAAAAAAACACAGTAAACTCCTTTCAAGACTTGAAAGTTCTACTATTACCGTATTTTTTTATGTTAGATATTCCTACCGTACAAGGACAGCCCACGAAAGTCTAGAAGAAGACATATTCCAGTGACTCAGAGATCCTTCTGGTGGTGAGGGCACACCGCGAGACAATCCCCTACTCTTTTCCGACTAGTGTAGGCCTACTGCGTGTACATGGGCCATAAATGCACACGGAACCATCGGCTTAATCCTCTCATCCGAAAGACGGTACGATATTGTAATTTGTGTTTCAGCCCTCCAACTGGAAACACAAGGAGAGGCAGCGACATGAATTGAACCGGGGACATAGATATCTCCACGGTTAAGCGCACAAGTGACTACCACAATATTAGCCGACTGAGCTTAAGCTGCTCTTAGTTTTAGATTTCAAAAACAGTTTACACCCAAATTGAAATATTTTTAAAAGGCACATGCATCCCAACACCCCCTTAAATTCAGGCATGTACAGTATATTATATCATCTAATTTTCCCATTGGAACATAAACAATTTCAGCTCACGGTTCCTGAAAAGGTAGGTCTAGAATTTGTTTTGCTTGGCAGCTCAATAGGAAGCCGAAGGTGGATCTCAGATCCTCCAATGATTCCACTAAATTATGATGATCCATTTCTTAGTATTTTTCGTAATCTTACATATTGTAACAGACAAGAATACAGAGAAAATGCGTACCACCTTTGCCGGAGGTATTAATAAATTATAATCTTATTGGACACATTGAATATCACTTAAGGTTCATATAGGTCTACTCTTTTTATTTTTATCACTTACCACACAATAGGAAGTAATAATCGTATCAAAATTATTGACATGACTCGATGACTACTTTGGTGCTAAATTTCTTAAGTCCTGATTATACATGTTCTTTTTGCAACCAACTGATAGGCTATTCGTTCCTAACCGGTCTTCTACGAAAATTTAATATATTTAAATATCATATAATTACTTGCGTTATAGCGTCTTGTCAGGAAATGAAAAATACAAATTAATTGCTAATTTATCTTGCGTATACACATCCAGTAGTGTATAACTGTAGAATAGATTTTAATTAAATTACTGGTATTTCATATTTCACACATCAATTATGCTTACAGAAACCATTTTCTTGAAGCGCTGAACAAAGAAACGCACTCACTACAATGGAACATGCAATTATTGTACTTTATTCACCGATTCATTCCTTCCTTTCTTTCTATCTCCCTCTATCAAGATTTTTTCCAACCAACTTGTACAATACTGTAATACAAAAGAAGTGAAAATTTCAATATCTTTTAAAATTAACGGAAGCACAAATATACTTGTAATGTATTTAGGAGGCTGCTATTAGCCTTTTCATTCTCTTCTAGAGCACAATAGTGCTCAGCACTGCGCATGGGCATAACCGTTGCGAAATGAAGGCTCATTTTGGTAAAGCTGGATAAAATTTTAACCAAGCAACAAATACCGTACAAAGTTAAGCCAATGTACCTCTTTAAAGTTTGTGCAATTAAGTATCGACTACCCACCCTACCGCCACCCCACCTTTCATAAAAAAAAAACTTCAACTTCAAGGCGCTCCCCACCCACTGCAGGCGCGGATCCAAGACACTTCAGCCCCACCATGGTTGGGGCTGAGGTAAGAACAATTAAGATTATGTCGCCTTTAGATGGCCGGAAATGGCACTCTCAGAATTTTAATATAATTTTCTTTTTTTTTTCTCCATTCAAAAAAATAATATTTACGGGAGCCCAGGCCGGCTGGGTTCCCCTTGAATCCCCCACTGCATAGGGGATCCCCTAACGCTTAGTTTACCTAGGGTTTTAAAACAAGTATTGCTAATTACAGCATTTCTATAAACAGATAAACGAACAGGTTCTTAAGACTACAAGTAAGATATTGCCGATAACAATAATTAAGCTAAATACATTTTAATTTGTTTTGTTCATGTGAATCTCTGATTGGTTATTACCTTAAAACAATGCTAAAAACACACAGTGTCATTTTAGTGTTGGGCAAATTACACTGGCTACATTTAGGCCTACTTTGTTGGCAAAATACAATGTACTGTATACGGTTTGGTTAATTTGTATAAGTCAATAAGTTCATAGTAAGTGCCAAGCATGATTGTTGAAAAAATGGTAAACATTTTATTTTTATTTCTCACCCTGACCTTCGCCACGGCGAACGATGTGAAGGCCTGGATCCACGCCTGCACTGAACATTTACTGACCACAATACGTTGATCTGACCTGTTTTCAAACTATGGTCTCACCATACCGTCTCATTTTGTGGAAAGACCTCAGATAGATAGACCTGTGTTTCAGGAAACCGACTCATTTTATATTCATTTCTATGACATTTTAAACATTTGTGTTATTAGTTTCGATTGCTTATCACATTATTGTTTATTATTTGACTATATATACCGTATCGTATCATTTACATGTGTGTCTACATGTGATCTGTTATCTATTTTATATTGATTTTCAATCCATAAGTTCTGGTTATGGTTATGTTGGGTAAGCCGACCTCATAAGGACTCCAAAAGAGTAAAGTATAAAAAGAGAGGTACCAATGACAAGAAAGTTCCACCAGTTTAAGACGCGCAGCGTCAGTCATGAGCAGGCTTGCCGTACCGCCTCGGGCCTCTTGGAATTGAAAGGTATAGAGAACTCACAATCACTTTGTGATCACAACATACTTGGTAGTCAATTCTCGGAACCATTGAGGTAGAAAATTACACCTCCAATGAAGGATAAAATAAAATGTGGAACATTTAATTTTTAAACTTTAGACCACATCCACCACATGTCTATTTATTAAGATTCTACCAAATTACTAAATTACGGCTATAATATTGACCTGAATAAAATACCGTATTTATTCGAATATGGTTGTTGAGAGGATTTTTGTTTTGTTTGAGGGGGTGTTAATTCGAGGGAGGCGTTTATGTATTAGGTTTAAAGTGAATACGTATATACTCAAATAAACGCCCCTTAATCTCACTGTAAATGTGGAACTAAAACACATAATTACCGTCAAATAATTTCGTGATCATAAAGACTTACATCATCGTAACCAGGTTATTTCTGGAGTAGAACATTAATAGAATGTGTTGAGAATGAAGTTGCTATCATTAGATTTGTTTACAATCATTTAGGGGGACGTTTATCCCAGGAAAAAATAAACGTTATGGACGCTTATTCGAGGAGTAGTTTGTTCCAATGAGGCTCTTCTCGAGGGAGGAATATATTAAAAACAGGGCGTTTATTCTAATAAATGCGGTATGTTTCTCACTTTCAAAGTTTCTCACTCTCAATGTATCTCAATTGTATAGCCTGATACATGAAATATTTCATTCCCATTGTAAAATTCACATGCTATTCATTTTATATCTTTCGCCTAAGAATATTTTTGTCAATTTAAATAGGCAGGTGGGCGTCGATGCGGTTCTACTTGCGTATTCATATTGGTTATGACTCTTCTTCATGCTTCCTTCTTGCACTCTTCAATTGACTGTTGCTACGATAATCCAATGGGAATGATGCTTTGTGTAATCGTGAATCGATTGCCGATTTTAAATCTCGTTGAAAATTTTGTCTCACAATCATACTCTCTGTGTAAGCTCGTTTTCGTTTTATTTTCCTTAGGCCAGAGTTGACACAAACGTCATTATTATTTGAAGCATCGGACGATGCGGTAATGGGATAAGGTAATGGGCTCCCTCCTTTTTCGTATGCAGGATTTTCCTCCCATTCCATTTCAAACACGTCATCGTGTTTCTCATCGTGAGGTGTTATGGCTGATACATACGCAACATTTTCTTCCCATTCTAAGTTATCTGTTAATTCTCCTGTTAATGCCGGCGGTGTTAATGGTTCGTTAATGTAAGGAGTCTGCACTTCGTCGTATGCTGGATTATCTTCCCATTCCGTGTAATCATAATAATATGATTGGTTTTTATCTGAACCGACTGGAAACAATGTTTTATTTCGTGACTGTGTAGTGGTTGGTTTCTGCTCTTCCTCATTAACTAACGAAATATTATCATATAAACCTAAGTCAGAACTCGGATTTGGTTCATATGCGTCTCCATCATCGTCAACCCTAATGCTATTATCTAACTCGAAATTATTGTGTCCGTTGTTGCTACCAACAACGTTTGGATCAAATATATTTGTGTCCTGTGACGCATTATGCTCACTTTCTGAAAACACTATTTCGTCATATACGCTGCTTGGTGACGTTTCTTCTGTGTTAAATGTTTCGTATTCATCAATATCGGGCAGCTTGCAGTTTTTTCCCTCTGTTTTAGTTTTACTTGTGTCAGGCATATAGCGATTAAATCTTTGAATTAAACGTTTGGTGAAATTTACGTTGTAATAATCTGTGTTCTGTGTTTTCTCAACCAAAGATATCGGTCTCAGTAGACCCATTCCTGGAAGTTTGACACCAACGCGTCGCTCCTTCAGTGACAGACTTCTGCGCGCATCGGAATTTGTCGGAAATGTTCGGCGATTTCTTACCAATACCTGGGGATTTTTCGAGATGTCAATATTTGTATTATTTTTAACGTGTAATTGTTCACCACCTGGCAAATCAGAGACTTCTCGTGCACTGTTGCTTGTTTCTTCGTTTGTTGCTGATTGTTCTGACTGGGCTGTTTCTGTTTTTGATTCATTATTTTCGACGTAACAACAGTATTTCCTTAGCCAAGCCAACACCTTACTGGTTAGAAATAAAATAGAAATACAAGTTTAAAATGCCTACTGTACATTATAATAATAGGCATAGGCCTAGAAATAATTGTAATTATAGAGATTGCATTAAAGTTTACCGAAAGGTCAACTGATTAATCTCAGATAAGATAGTATGGTACATACTCCAAGTATCGAAATGCACGCCATCGTGTCAGAATTTAATATTTCCTGATGATTATATAATTAATGTCGAAATATTGAATCCCGACACGATGGCGTGCATTTCGATACTTTGAGTATGTATTATAAATTTTGAATTAAATCATTATAAATAATTATCGAAATTATATTCAGGGTCTATGCATGTTTTATGTTTTATGTTTATGTTTGTTTTTTTTTTAATGTAATAAACCCAGCTATATACGTCATAAATGCAGCTTCAAGGGGGACTCGAACCTGCGACCTCTCGCTGTCAATGTCGCAGTTGCGATAGGATTTGCCCGGCGGGAGAGGGTGTCCGATATCTCGGACGGAGGTGGGGAACGTAAGATATTCCCAACGGGGGGAGGGGGCAATGTCCCAATATATGTATAAGTGCAACCCAAAACGCCTTATAGGGCTCAGGAA